TAGATATGATTTTGAAAAATTTCAAATTATTTTCCATTGCGGCATACTAGTTTTATTTAGAATGGAAAATCTAGTAAACAGAAAAATGTGTAATTTTCGAAAGTTATTGATAATTTTAGAACAAATGGGAAGTTTCCCAATGTTTTAGTGTTGTTAACTTGATATTTTGAGGGAAATTTTTATGCTTATCGTTCTTATATAACCTCAATAAGTAAATTCATAGTTTCCAATTTTTGTTGAAATTATTTTCATAAATTTACTGCAAGTAAAAAAAAATAACTGCATGATTGTTTTAATATTTTTCTTGTTCAGGTCTTTTAGAATCTTTTAAATGACATTTTTAAACCCCACAAAAATATTTTCTAAACGGACCTATAACATAAATGTTTTCCTGTTTTAATTGGCAATGATATGTTAAAGGGGAAAATGTCTGTTCATTTGTCCATCGTCATCTCCCATCCAAACTCCAATACGATATAATTCCTAAAATATATGCCTCAGGTATATATGCAGGATTGGTTTACGTTTAAAAACAATGTAGATCACATTTAATTTCTGCAGCAATCCCAAAAGAATTGTTATAATGGCCTTTACAACTATTAATAATGAATTTTGCAGAGACCATTCAAATAAAAATAATTTTAGCTTATTTGTTAGTTGATATTTGTGGTCCTGAATAATCATGATATCCTTGAAATTAGTACATAATATAGCTTCAAATAGGTTTTACTAGAAACATTTTGTTAGGAAATAGTTAAAAAAATAGTAATAAGGGTTACCATTTTCATTTTAACCGGAGCGAGTTATAAACCAATGCACAGAAAAACCTCATATGCTTTGAAATGGATTTTCAAAAAGGAGGACAGTGTTCAATTTTAATCAAAATTGGAGGTTTAATATTATAAATTTTTTAATTAAGTATTTTTCATAACAACTCCCCATAAGCTTTAGAAAGGAAAATATAAAAAGAAAAAAATGTGAAATAAAATTGAAGTTTTCCAATGTTTATATGTTTTAGCTGCATATTAGGTATTGGTAATTTTTTACTTGACATATTGAGGATTTTTTTAATTTCTTCAGGTCTCTTATAGGTACCTATTTATTTGTCAATGAATTTTCTGAAAGTTGATTTTTTGAGGATAAACTCTTACTATTCTTTGCATTTTTGAAACCCTACCAAAAAGATACCCTTGTTTCTTCAACCAATTAAAAGTGGCATTATTTACAAACAATGCAAAAAGATTTGCTAAACAGGGACCTGTAAAATGATCATAAGTTTCTTTTGTTTGGAAATCAGCTGTTAGATAGGATTATGTCTGTTTAATTTTCCATCATCATATTGTCAACAGATACCAAGAATATCCTTTTACAGTCCTTTTACTCAGTTTATATGGGAAGAAAAAAACTTGAAAACAAAAAATGGGGTTAGTTAGTTTCATTATTTCCTTAGTAATCTATTAATTTTTTGCACAAATAATGAATTTTGGTTATTTTTTAATTACGGTTACTTTATGAAATAACTTTAGTACGCCTCATAATCACTTTAATTCAGGTATTTTTCTTTGTAATCTTTACCAGATTTCTTCCTTGTATAAAAATACCTTTATATTGTTTGAAATGCTGTTTTTAAAAGTACAAGACAATCTCAGTTAAAAGTGTGGTTTTTTTTTTGGCTTAAATTCTCTAATTTTATGTAAAAGAAAGAGTCATTAATTTACTTAACAAAATAAAAAAAATACCCTTTTACTTTGATAATAGCAAATCATCACAAAATTCTGTATCTCAAAACAAAAACACACATTATTAGCCCCCCCCCCCCCCCCCCCCCCCCCCCCCCCCCCCCACCCCGCCCAAATTGAGGATCAATGTCTATATCTAAAACTTTTTAGGATGAATCAACAATACTGTCATTTATTTTGTACAACTAGTATTTTCCTAATGATACATTACCTTTGATGCAGATCGGTCTCCTTTTAATTGTAAGATAATGTACTACAGTGGCCAAAAAATCTAAAGTTACAGTTTTCAATTTATTTTTTATTTATACACACACTGTGGAGGCAGATTGTGTCATTTAGGTATTTTGTTTCATGATACATTATAATTTAATTTTCGCATGTTTCAAAGAATAGTGGAAAAAGATTTTGAAAGTTTTCACTTTCATCCCATCAGTCGTAGTGTCAAGTTTCTTTTTAACATATTTAAAATATGTAATAAGTTTTGCCTTCCTCAATTGATATTTTTTGCACAGAACAGCTTGACCAAACCTTTGATATATTCAGTCAATGTCATGGACCATAAAGTGCAAGTCATATTTTGAAGGTTTTGACATTTGCTTTTAAATAAGAACTGCCTTATAACTAAAAGTTTGAGTTTTATCTATTTCATGATAATACTGCTTGACCAAAACTTTTGATAAGCGCACGGGATTAGTTTTGATTTTGTTTTGAAATTTACAACTGAAATGTGCCCTTACAGTTGCCTTAAAAGTTTGATGGTCTTGGGTTTTATAAATGTGTCCGATGATCCCGTCTGCCAACCAAGATAGCTGACATGGCTAAAAATAGAACATATGGTAAAATGATAGTTTATTATCTTGAAAACTGATTTGAATAGAGAAAATCTGACAGGGGCAATTAAACATGTTCAGAATGGTGAGATCTACCTGCTGTCTTTCTTCGTTAAAACTGTCAGACGACTTAAATTCTTGTAGGAGTTATTGTCCTAATATGTCAAATTTTACCAGTTTTTTTCATTTTTGCTCATTATTTTGTAAACTATAATAGATAGAGAGAAACTTTAATAATAAAAAAGTATCAGAAAGGTATTAAGATCTACAAATAAGACAACATTGGCGAAATTGTCAGACAACTCTTTATTGGAGTTTTTGCTCTTGAATGATGATTTTATACCATTTTTGGGGGGTGTTTTTTATTATATCTTACAAAAAATTTTCTCTGCAACCACTGGGCCAAATTTAACCAAACTTGGTCACAAACATCATCAGGGTATCTATAGTTTAAGAAATATGTCCGATGACCCAACCAAGATGGTCGACTTGGTTTAAAATAGAACATCATGGTAAATGCAAGTTTTGTCTATTAATCTTGAAAATCGCTTTGAATAGAGAAAATCTGAAAGCAGCAGAAATGTTCAGAATGTTGATCTATCTGCTGTCTATATATTTACATCAAAACTGTCGGACGACTATTTATAAGAGTTATTACCCGTAAATGACAAATTTTACCATTTATTTTTTTTTCATTTTTGCTGATTATTTTGAAAACTATAATAGAAAGAATCTTCATATCCGAAAAGTGATCAGCAAGACAAGATCTACAATTCAGTCTAATGACTGAAATTGTCAGACAGATCCTTATTTGAGTTATTGCTCTTTGATGACGATTTTTACCAATTATTTGCGTTTTCTCCTATAATAATTGATAGAAATAGCCAAAATGATTAACAAGACAAGTTCTACAAATAATATAAATAAGAAGATGTGGTATGAGTGCTAATGAGACAATTCTCCATCCAAGTCACAATGTATAAAATAGTTTAACAATTATAGGTCAAAGTACGGCCTAAATAAGTTCAGATGACCGAAATTATTAGTCGACTCCTTATTAAAGTTATTGCCCTTTAATAAAAAATTTCCACTTTTTGCCTATTATCTTGAAAACAGTAGTAGATAGAAACTTTACATAGCACGAATGATCAGCAAACAAGATCTACAAATAAACTACATTGCTGAAATCTTCAGTCCACTTGTTATTGGAGTTATTTCCCTTTAATGATGATTTTTGTCGAGCCTGCGACACAAGCTCTGTTGTACAAAGCTAGACATAGGGATAGTGATCCGGTCCTCTTGCCTGTCAGTTCCACTCGACCTCAACCTCATTTCATGGATCAGTGAACCAGACTAAGTTTTCGTGGTCAAGTTCATATCTCAGACACTATATTGTCATGGATAAATGAGAGAACCACATCAAAATTTCAATGTAAGATCAAAAATTTACCCCCCCCTTTTTTTTTTAACTAGAAACATATATACACATGTGTATATGTCTCTATTTTAACAATAGGTCTACAATATTTGGAGAATGGAATGATTGTTAGGTTTACATGTCGAACTGGCAGGTGTCATCTGACCTTGGCCTCATTGTAATGGATAAATGAGAGAACCACATCAAAAGTTCAATGTAAGATTAAAAACTTAATTCACCCCCCCTTTTTTACCAGAAACAAATACACATGTGTATTAATTATATGTCTCTGTTTTAACTTAACTTGGAAAATACAGATGATTAACCTGTATAGGCATGTTTTGAAACAATGTTTAAATGCATTGTTTCATGCAATATTATGCCTGTTGTTTCCTCAACGATGATAGATTGATTGTAAGTTAATGTCCAGTGGCAAATATTGTATGCATGTTCAGGACATTAGAACAACTTTAACAATACATACAATAGGTATATACGTAGGTCCTGTAGTGGGGGTTGACCAGGATAAAGGCTGAAAATTTGGACTGCCACTAGAAAATGAGGGTAAATTGAAAAGGGACCAAAATTTAGTCATGCAACAGGCCACCTACGGACCCCTCAAAGAGTTGTTGGAAGGGTGCAGAGGGCGTCGCAAACTCTCTTTACACAAGTCATCGGATTAAGCATCCCCATCCTGACCAGACATGGCTTTGAATATATATATCCTGCACAACCAAACGGACGCCCCACTTTGGCAAGGGTTTTCCTGCTGGTCAGGAGGAGACCAAGAGTGACCATATTTCTATTCTCCAGTCACCCTTGGGGCTCCTTAAAAATGAATGTGTCACTTTCAGAATTTGCCACCACACTTTTCAGTCTACACGTCACTGTAACATTAATATTTTTTTTCGATTGAAATAAGTTTGACTTTGTCGAATTTGAATTTATTTATAGGGCGAGATGTCTTTGGGACGAAAGTACACAATACTGGGCACGCTTGTTTCTTCGTAGAAGTCCGCCATATTGGAAATGATGTGGATCTTAGGTTTCTCGATTAATGTTGAATATACATGATATAGGTAGACTATAGGAATATGATTTAACAATTTAAAGGTGTGAAGATTGATCGTATAAAAATTTAAACATACTTATATGATTACATTGCACACAGTACACATTAGCACCATATATCGTAACTATTTGTATTAATTTAGAGGTGCAGAGATGTTTTCCTGGTTTGACCCGCCAATCTTAGAAAATAAAAAAAAAAAAAAACAGTTTTGATCTCTAAATCTTAAATAGTTATAAATCCCATAGTATGTATATTTTCAATTAGAGCTATACTTTTCGATCTGGCCATGAAAGATCAAATTTGGCTATAACAAATTATCTCCCTTTGAAAAAAATTAAAAATGTTAAGACTAATAAGAGTAATACAGGGACTAAGCTAGAATTCTGAGTCCTTTAGTCAATAATGCATGTTAAGTGTCCCATATGGCACCTACTCTTCCAAATAAAAACAATAACACCCTACTATAAATAATATAAGTTATATATGGTTTGCTACTGACCCCTACGGTCCGGAATGACGGACCCATACAGGGTTAGTAACATCCATAGGGGTTGAGGCCGAAGGCCAAATCTATCGATTTTACTAACCCTCTATGGATCCGTAGGGGTCAGTAGTGAACCCTATAACGAATTTATAGCACACAGGACTTATTTCCTGCTAAATTATATCATGTATATATAAAAAAAGCAATGAAACACAAAAGCATTAATTGATGACGTCACTATTGATAGTAAATGTGACAAAATGAACCCCATATGAAATCTACTAACCCATAGGGGTCCATAGGGGGGTCACCACGTGACGGCATTAAACCAAATGAAATAACATAACGTTGTAATTTATTCGAGGTGCAGTTAAGTTTAATAGGGGCTTTTTCCTGGAAAACATTGACGATGCAAAGTAAATACCTTTACGTCAACATCTATGACATGTTTTCCACCACATGAGCCCAGGTCAACTGGGACGAACTTCTCAAAATCTTCATAAAATCTTTTGTATTCAGAGGTGCTGCTACCGGGCAGAGGTTTATTTTTTGCACAATAGAAGTGAATACAGTATTGTTCTTTCAGAAATTTTACTAAAAGTTGCAAATTAAATTATGATTATGCATAAAAAAATTTAACATCAAAATTCCAACTGACCAATTCTCTATACAAATGAATTTTGAGGATCATTAATTATATATAATTAAATACTTTTGGATAAGCGCATTGCCAAGATATAAATTGTGTTGGATAATCAGTTGAAATTTCCAGTTGACAGCAACCACCCAACTATTGGTTGTTATTTATAATTGCATTACTATGAATTCCTCTTTTTATATGAAATCATGCATAAATCATCCTCATTTTACATGTCTTATGCCTATATTCCATATCAGTACAGAGCTTTATTTGTTCATGATTGATCTTTTGTTTACTTTCTTACATGTATTTTAGTAAAACTAAAATTTCTAAATTTCAGTGGTATCCATACTTGCCAACCTCTGACAATGAAAAATCATGACATGACATGACATGTCAAAAAGCGTGTGAAAACGCGAGATGTAGATGCGGACTTTTTAAAATGAACATTATACAAATTTGTTAATATAAAAAAAAACAATATTCTACTGTAAACTTTTATTGCATTCAACAGTGGCCTATTTTTGCTGCTTTCAAAACAACACTACTAGGCAAATATTCAAAATAAGTGCCAGTTTGGTTACTATTACATGATAACAAGGCACACAGTGTCAACATGGTCAATATATCATTGAGTTCTGATCATAATTCAGTGTAAATTTCTTTATAATTGAAAATTCTCTCTCACAGTCAGAATTGTTATTTGGCAAAACTAAAATAGCTTTAACGTTTAAATAGCAAGCTTTGAAAGAATGTCATGACGTTTTTTTTGCCATTAAAAATGTCATCTACGTCTGCCATTGCTCCCCACAAATTATATATGTTGCTATTGTCTGGTCAAAACTGGGTAGTTAATCAGCAGACAGCTGGTACTCTGAGAACTGATCCAACAGTTCTGTGATATTCCCTTCCCATATGGCCTGTGGAAATCTGTTGGCTAGATTTGAAACTGAAAAAGAAATTCCAAAATATTTTATAATTTGAATACCATTGAATGCTTTATCAAATAGTTACATCCTCTCACACATGTTGTTATGATTGCAAATGATTGATAATTTTTGCAGATGATCCAATATAAATATGAGAATGACATAGGGTGCACAATCATGACAATGGCCCATGGTCACTTTCTTTTGATTCATTTTAACATGGACTCCCAACTTTTTTGGTACGTACACATGTATCGTTTTTGCTTAGCACTAGATTCTTTAGAAGACAGTACAGGTCCAGAAAGTGACCTCTTTCTGCTGGACATTTCCCCAACGTCAATTTGAGAGAAAGAAGACACAAAATCTTAAAACCTACTTACAAACTTACCTGAAGTGAAGGGCTTTTGTTGTTCGTCCATATCGTAAATAAACAATGGCGACTCAACAATTACTTTGAAATTCTCGGTATTTATCGTCTATTAATGAAAACACCAGTGAATCGTGATCTCACTAACGACCAAAAAATCAAAGCAACGAAAAAGCGTGTAATGGCGTGTAAAGTGATTAAAAGCGTGTACACGCCATGTGACAAAATTCTCGCGTGTAAACTGTCGAAAAAGCATGTATTACACGCGAATATCATGTGAGTTGGCAAGTATGAGTGGTATCACTCATCTCCATTGTAAACATAATTTCAAATACATAATTGTAACAAAATTTGAATGTTTCTCATTCAAAAGATATATAAATTTAACTTAAAGCAACTTAAATCATAAATTGAATATGTTGAAACAGTGCATTAAAAAAATATTTACATTAAAATATATACATTTAATGAAGGAGATCAATCCAAATGTCTGTTAATGCATGAGTAATGTATATTTTTCACTTTTTGGATCATTATTCTTCTGTTAGCTGTACCATTGTGTCTCTGTGGTTATTTTCCTAAAAATGCAGATTTTGGTAAAAGTTGGTTCACGTCTGTCTGATTCATGGTTCGTATAAACATTTCAATGTTGGACAAAGAAAAATTACAAAAATAAACAATGTTTGTCAAGCGATTTGGTAAAAGAATATAACGTTTTAACATGTTTAATACAATAAATGGACGAAAAACTAACAAAAAGGCAATTTTCATCATGTTCTTATGAAGTAACAAATTTTGTTGTTGTTGTACAGTACGCACAGAGAGTTTGTAATCGCGAACTCTAATCACGGATTTCGGAGTGTAGCGGTGTCACACCGCGAATCACGGATTATACTCCCAATTTCCTCCAAAGATTCTCTCCCAACACCGCGTGGCTGTTAATTGGTTTATTGCCCATCGGATGTACTGAAAATTAATGACGCGTGACAACATAATCGGATTAGCCAGATTTATTACCTTTGTACATTTAATCGATCTTGATTGCACCTGTGTGCTTTAAAACACGGTATTAAAATTTCATTTCTTTGACAGATAAAAATGTGACATTTTCTTTCAAAATAAGATAATTATTCTTGTATGTATTTGCCCCATGTCATTGTCATTTGAAATAAAACGTACAAACGTATAAAAATACGAATAAAACACTTATTTTGTATTTTTATTATAGTCCGGTCAGGTCATAATTTTGTTTTTTCAACAAAGACGATTTTACTACAATTAGAATCTTTTATGACCTACTCAGTGAGCAATATCCGGTTCATTAATTGTTCAATATATAAATATCAACTGGCTTAAAACAAAATGATGTATTTGTATATCGTGTTCTACAAGAAAGAAATATGAGAAAAAAATGTGGATCGGATTTTTACGATCTACACATTTTCACAGAGGATCTCTACCAACGCCCAACAGGAACTGAACGACATGCATCCTGTTTTCATCTACCATTTATGTATATTGTTGACCATGGACGTATAAATAATGTCCAGGTTTATGTCCTGTGTTGACTGAGAAACGTAAAATTAAAAGGCTGGTGTTCGTTTATTCAGAAAAGGATTATATTTTAGATTTCGGTTAATCAATTGTAAAAGGACCTTCTAGAGTCTCAATCTTAAGGCATACAAATGTCAATCATTCAACAGCAAATTTAAACCCCGAATGAATTTTCCCACGGTCATCCAGAAAGGTCACCTGAGTTTACTGTTACATGATAATATTTCCCGCCAAATAAAAATCTCGTGGACAAAATTGATGTCACTATTTTTAGCATTCAATATTGTGAGCGAAGTCAAGTTCAAAGTTCAACCACGGACTGCTGATCACTGAGATGTGTATGGTATTCCCACGGCAATTAATTTCTTTTAAAAAAAATTAAAATCACTGTCCTTTATACAACACACAAGTTTACATTCATTGTGCGTAAATGAATATTATGCAACGACGAGTTGATGCAGCTATAGAAGTATTCCTGTTGTAGCCGAAATGTAATTATTTATCCTAAAGTAATGCCAACAAATCGTAAAGAGAAAATGCCGTAGACTTATTAAGCATAACGAATGGTGAATAGTATTTTCTTTTTTACTTGCATATACAAATTTTGAGACACGTAATTTTCTTTAAACTGCTCACTTTTATATTCAGCGTTAGTTTCCGTTTATTTTTACGCAAGTATGTCTCTTTTCGTAAATAAAATAATTTACCGATGAACTTAAACAAGGTCAAAATCAAGTATAGTTTTTGTTATAAAACTTTAATGCAATTGAAAGAATTAACAACAACATTCTGCTTTTAAATCTTTAATTTGTTCCAAGCAATTATGTAATCGTAAAATGAAAATGGCGTGGACTTATTAGCATAACGAATAGTGAATAATATTTTCTTTTTTACTTGTATACAAAACTTTGAGACATGTAATTTTCCTTTAAACTGCCCACTTTTATTCAGCGTAAGTCTCCGTTTATTTTTTACACAAGTATGTCTCTTTTGTAAATTAAATATTAATTTACTGACCAGAAAAAAAACGAGGTAAAAATCAAATATAGTTTTTTTTTAATAAAACTATTTTTAAATGTACAGTGTAATTGAAAGAATTAACAACAACGTTTTGGTTTTAAATCTTTTATTTGTTTCAAGCAATCAGAAATATAACCTGATTATCAATAGACAGGAAATACAATTGTTTAATTACATAAGTAATCTCACATACCTTGACTGTCGCGTGCCGGTATAGATCAGAAGGATTAGGGCAATTAATTACCTGGTGTGACACCGCGTCACACCGGACTGGGAGAGATGTCGCTAATACAATAAACAAAAGGTAGCGGAAGTCGGAGGGAATACTCCCAAATTTCTCCGAGAATTTATGGAGGGATGTAGCAGTTTCCTGGTGTCACACCAAGAAAAAACTTGGTGTTCGGAGTTTGGGAAGCCTTTCGCGAAATTTGTACTGTATTTCTTAAGTAACAAGTACCGGAAGTGAAAGAAAATAATTAATAAAACAGTCAAGGATATAACTCTATAGGGTTATTAAAGAAAAATAACATATGTTTGTTATTGTGGACTAAAAAATCAAAGACCTGTGATAACATATGTATGCTACATGTTTCAAAAGGACAATATACATCATTAGTTTTGTTAAAATGTATACAGGTTCCATTGATATTACTATTGTCTTTATGTATACTTAACTATAGAAAGATATAACAGTTCATATTTTGACAATCATGCATAGTACACCTATGTTATTACAGAAAATATTGGCCTGTAATAACTAAAGGGTGTTATTACAGTTTCTCTATATCACTCCAAAGCATTTGCTCAGACATACATCATGCTTAATTACAATTTATTTTAATTCATTGTAAGAAATAATGACCAGAGCATGTAATGAGGTTCTGCGCAAGTTTCCCAGTAATTCCCAAGTGTCTCATATAATAAGTTACATGCCTTTAATAACTAAGCCTTGTTATTACAGCTAAGTTATTCACTTAAAAGTCTTGTCTCATTGATTTACCATGGTTAATGATATGTGTATTAATTTAATTCAAAAATTAGTTATCAAGGCTATGCATTTAGTTTCTGCACAAAGTTTCCAGAGTTCCCTAGAGCCCGCTAGAAATTAAAATGTTGATCATTTATTTTACAAATAACAAACATATGTTATTACAGATTTATAAAATTTTAGGTTTAAAGAGTAGACAACTTATAAAAATATCTGTAATAACACATGCAAGTTATTTCTTGTAATAACCCTATAGAGTTATATCCCTGACTGTAAAAAGTTGTTTTTTTGAAATGACATACAACCAGTCTGGAAAATCAATACTTGACCATGTTGAAATTGATTCTTTCTTTGATTATTGGATGGTTGACATTGTTATTGTCAACAGCTGATATTTTCGTTCCTTTTGTATTGACTACTGCGCATGTAATAATGTAAAATTAACAGAAAACAATTAGGAACAAACAATGATGCACGTACAACATGTACAAGATATAGATTTTTTTTTAAATCCAAAAAGCGATAATTTTTTGGGGGTAATTACTTAAATCCCACATAACTGTATCCATTAAAGCAAATTATAATTGAACAATTCCTTATAAAACCACACACAAACATAACAATGAATATCTATGTTGATAAAAAAAAAACAACTTATAATTGCATGTACATCATGTACAGTGATGTACATACATCTTCTGAAGTTCATAAAGTTTTCAAACAAACACTGTTAAGTAGTTTCCTGCATTTAAAATCCAGAAGGTAAATTATCATTCAGAAAAAGAAAAAACCTTTTGCTGACATTGTTGATCTACTGCCTACCCAATGTTTGTAATAGGAACAACACATACATTAGGGGAGGGTTGTGCTCCCGCTAACTTGTTTAACCCCTCTACATTCTGTATGTGCCTGTCCCAAGTCAGGAGCCTGTAATTCAATGGTTGTTGTTTATTGCTGTATAATTCTTATATGATTTGCATATAAGGGAATACGTTTATATGATTGGTCGAGAGGGCTCCCGGTAGTTGCTCTTGACGTTATTTATTTTTCGATAGACGGCGTTGACAGAACTACTTTTTGTAACCAATGTAAACAAGATGGCATCTATGTTAAACATATTTATTTTCACTTCACGTTAATCGTTAAATTAAAAAATAAACACAAAACATTCATTTGGATGATAATAAGATATTTTTGTAGTTTATTTTTTATCAGATAGCAAATTTCATAGAGTACATTTTTTGTTTGCGTTTACCACAAAATTTATTGATGCGCCAGGCCAATTCAATCACACAAACATACAATTTACGTGTGATAGCGGTGAGGAGTGGGAAATTAAAATCCTTATCTCCCATTTTTACAGAATTATAAGGATTAAACGCCTTTTTAAAGGAATTTATTGGTGTATAAACTGGACCAAGTCACTCACAAACATAACATTATTTGTTTGTGAGTGAATTGGTCGAGTTTATACACCAATAAATTCCTTTAAAAAGGCGTTTAATCCTATAATATCATATTTGTAGTTTGTTCATTGTTTTTTTTACATAAATCAGGCTGTTAATTTTCTCATTTTACCTGTTCTACATTTTTTTATTTCGGGGACTTTTTTTAGCTGAGTTTGCAGTATGGATTATGCTCATTGTTGAAAGCTGTACAGTGACCTATATTGGTTAACTTCTGTGTCATTTGGTCTCTGGGGGAGAGTTGTTTCATTGGCAATCATACCACATCTTCTATTTTTTATATTAGCCTCATGACATTTATTAAGCTCTTTGAATTCTTGTCTTGTAATATATTTCCTTGTTTTTTAATTTCAGATAAATTAAGAACCAACAACAATAACTGCAGCCATGGAAACAGACATATTAGAAGAATTTGATAAAGACCAGTTCCTTGAATATGTAATAATCATGGTTTGAATAATAGAACCTAAACTATTAAGGGTTTAACAATAAAACTCATTCAATTGTTCAGTACTGGAAAGGAATTTTGTTTTACAAATGACTTGTTTGATGGGACAAATATACAAAGTTTGATGAATACTTTATTAATGTCACTATAATAACTTGACTTGACACATATAGATTTACTAGAAAGGAAAAAATTCTGTCTTACTGTGACTTGACTGACTATAAGTGTTGCTCTCCACCTTTAGTTTATTCAAAATTTTGCCCAATTTGCAATTTGTTTTAACAAACCAAACTATTTAAGTGGTCAGAAATTTAAACCAACTGCAGTAGAAAACCACAATCAAGTCGTGAAAGTACAAGGTGTTAAAATGAAGCATACTTATAATCCTATTAGAACTTAATTCCACTTTGTATGAAAATGATACATGTAGTAAGAATTTCTATACATAGTTTTATTGTAATTGTCATTTTAAACAACATGTCTAACAATAGATATATTAAAGAAATTAAGATTGTTTTGCATTTACATATTACATTTGTACTAAATTAAGGTTTTCCCACAATTATATATATTACATATTGTTAAACACTGTTGTTTTTTTCCAGTCAAGGTCAACAACAAGTAAAATGCTACTGGCAGTTACACTGGATACTAGTTCCATGACGATGACTTCTTTTGCTTCACAGCTTGGGAACAACTTTCTACAGCAAAGTGTGGAGTGTGCAGGATTAGATATTCTGAAAGAACTACAGGAGTTTCTGTCAGGTGAAATTTATAATTATGCCTGAGAAAATTTAGTTGGGGTGTGAAGTGGTGGGGGTATATAGGAATAAACTTTCTTTTGAGTCACAGATTATGATGTGTCAGCTTTGCAGCATGAATAATTTTTTTACACCAGTGCATTGCTGGAGGGGATGTACTGGTGTCTTTCTGTCTGTCAGTCTAATGCATTTTTTGTCACATATTTCTCAGGCACTACAATTTAGAGATGTCTGAAATATGTTTAATGTGATCATACTTTACCTTGTTTTGCATTTTCACATTTATCCCTGATCAAATACCAATTATCATGTTTACCGACTACCTACATTTGTATATATTCGTACACAAACTGGCTATGTAGTGTATGAAAATTTCGTCACAATTTTCTCAGGAACTACAAATCAGAGCATGCTGACATTTGGTGTCAAATTTACTGTGTGATCTGTTTTTTGCATTCATTACTCATTGACTTCCTGTTTACAGAATACTTTAGTGACATCTGGGGTGCTATTAGTGAGCAATATCTCACAGTTTAACTTGTACTCCTGCATTTGTAGTAGTATTTACTGAGTTATGCCCATTAACTTGGAAAATTTATACTATTTAGTATGAATGTTATGAATGCAACTATTTTTACATGCTTCATCAGATTTCAAGAAATTTCATGCATTATCAGATCAGATCATGAAGATGTGCATGTAAGAAGTACATCCTGTCTTTGACAAATCCCAGTTATGCCCCTTTGAACTTTAGAAGACTTTGATACGAAGTTGATATTTCCATGTGTTATGCACCTTTTAATTTGAAATTTGTAATAGGAAGCTTATTTAAGTTTGGGAAATGTTTGTTTTCATCTTTTAACATGTTTACCATGTAACGAAAACCAACTGAAATTATAATTACAACCAGACCAACCACCACCAACACCCAACTCCTCCAAAAATGAAAAAAAACCATAAACAATCATAGGCAAACAGTACAATAGAAATTATGATCCTGATGGCCCAACAAGGTACAGGCACAAAATGCATTGTGTTTTAACCGGTTTTATGTCACACAAACTTCCTCCTTTGCTTATAAAGACAATACATGTATGTTGTATAGACGCAATATAGCTTTTTTCTGAGGATGCAGCCTAAGGCAATCACCAATCAATCATGTTTATTGTAAAACTAAACCACACAATAAAAATCTTGTACAGTGATGCTACCAACAGAATGACTACTAAAAATATGTTGAAAAAGGAAAAAAAGACAGAATATACTTTTCAAAGCAGATTAAACAAAAAATGTTGTTTCAACTACTAGTAGAAAGCAACAATTTTATACAGTTATTTTGAATTAATAAGTCCTTACTGTTTATGAGGACTTAATAATTAACAATTATATATAAATTTCAGGCCACTATAAGACAAAGAAACTGAAACTTGAGAATAAATTGTTGAAAGATGAGAGCAACGATGAGGACCAAAAGAAAATAGCAAGAGACAGAAAGAGAAAGCAAGAGGGACCACTCACAACAGACAAAAAGCAAAAAATGACAGAAAAAGACCTTAAATCAACGTCTCCAAATAAAGGTATTGTGATACATATGTACATGTGATAGGTAGACCAACAATGAGAAAAACCCATTCTTCAAAACAAGTTATAAAAACCCAAAATGACAAATGTAAAACGTAATCTAACACCCACTTACAGAATGTGGCAGTGTTAAACATGTTTGACAATTGTCAACCCTCCTCTTACCTGGGCCAGTGAACACAAAATGTTATTTGTAATTTATGCATGGGACTCAAATACACCTTTTGAGTATCTAATGTGTTTTTTGGTATTATCCAAAGAGTACTCCAAAACAGTGTGATTGGCTAAAAAATGTAAAATTACCAACATGTTCTTATATGATGAAACCATAAATTAGAAAAATATTTAACATTGATTTTTAGCTCACCTGGCCCAAAGGCCTTTTCTCATCACTTGGCGTTTGTCGTCTTCTGTTGTCATCGTCTGAAACTTTTACAAAAATCTTCTCCTCTGAAACTACTGCACAAATCTAACCAAACTTGAGCTACAATCATCATTGGGGTATCTTGTTTATAAATTTGTCCAATGACCCACGCCTGCCAAACAAGATGGCAGACATGGCTAAAAATAGAATATAGGGGTTAAAAAGAAGTTTTTTCTATTATTTTGAAAACTGTTATATATAGGGAAAATCTGACAAAAGCAAACATGTTCAGAATGTTGAGCTCTAACAATTGTTCATATAGGTAAAAACTGTCAAACGACTTCTTATAGGAGTTATTGTCCTTAAATGACAAATTTTACCATTTTTTCAATTTTGCCTATTATCTTGAAAACTATGATAGATAGACAGAAACTTTACATGCAAAAATAATCAGCAAGACAAGTTCTAAAAATAAGTCTGCATGGTAGAAATCGTCAATAGATTCTTTATTAGAGTTATTACCTTTTGATGATATTTTTTACCATTTTATTGTCGAGTCTGCGACTTCTGTCGCAGAAAGCTCGACATACAATGTAGGAATAGTGATCCGGCGGCGCATTAACTAACTACTTAAAAGCTTTATATTTTAGAAGGTGGAAGACCTGGATGCTTCATACTTTGTATATAGATGCCTTATGTTATGAAGTTTCTGTCTGGCATATGTCCATTGTCCTTGACCTCATTTTCATGGTTCAGTGACTACTTGAATAAAAAGTTAAGATTTTTTGTAATGTTAATTTCTCTCTTATTATAAGTAATAGGATAACTATATTTATTATGTGCATACCTTGCAAGGTCTCCATGCCTGTCATACAGTTTTCATCTGACCTCGACCTCATTTCATGGATCAGTGAACAAGGTTAAGTTTTCGTGGTCAAGTCCATATATCAGATACTATAAGCAATAGGTTTACTATATTTGGTGTATGGAATGATTGTAAGGTGTACATGTCCAACTGGCAGGTGTCATGTGACCTTGACCTCATTTTCATGGTTCAGTGGTTAAAGTTAAGTTTTTATGTAATATCGGTAGGTCAACTATATTTGGTGTATGGAAATATTTTACGATGTACATGTCAGTCTGGTAGGTTTTATTGAATTTGACCTCATTTTCACAGTTCATTGCTCAGTGTTAAGTTTTTGTGTTTCGGTCTGTTTTTCTTAAACTATAAGCAATAGGTCAACTATATTTGGTGTATGGAATGTTTGTAAGGTTTATATGTCTGTCTGGCAGGTATCATCTGACCTTGACCTCATTTTCATGGTTCATTGGTCAATGTTAAATTTTCATGGTGAAGTTTGTTTCTTAGATACTATAAGCAATAGGTCAACTATATTTGATTCATAGATTGATTGTAAGGTGTACATGTCTGTCTGCCATGGTTCATCTGACCTTGATCTCATTTTCATGGTTCATTGGTCAATGTTAAATTTTCTTGGTTAAGTTTGTTTCTTAGAAACTATAAGCAATAGGTCAACTATATTTTGTGTATAGAATGATTGTAAGGCACAAAATGCATTGTGTTTTAACCGGTTTTATGTCACACAAACTTCCTCCTTTGCTTATAAAGACAATACATGTATGTTGTATAGACGCAATATAGCTTTTTTCTGAGGATGCAGCCTAAGGCAATCACCAATCAATCATGTTTGTTGTAAAACTAAACCACACAATAAAAATCTTGTACAGTGCTGCTACCAACAGAATGACTACTAAAAATATGTTGAAAAAGGAAAAAAAGACAGAATATACTTTTCAAAGCAGATTAAACAAAAAATGTTGTTTCAACTACTAGTAGAAAGCAACAATTTTATACAGTTATTTTGAATTAATAAGTCCTTACTGTTTATGAGGACTTAATAATTAACAATTGTATATAAATTTCAGGCCACTATAAGACAAAGAAACTGAAACTTGAGAATAAATTGTTGAAATTTTGGTCAATGTTAAATTTTCTTGGTTAAGTTTGTTTCTTAGAAACTATAAGCAATAGGTCAACTATATTTTGTGTATAGAATGATTGTAAGGTGTACATGTATTTCCTGTTTGGTGTATCTGACCTTGGCCTCATTTTCTTGGATCATGTTAAGTTTATATGATATTTCTATCAATATAAAATCCGTGATCAGTAAAGCGGGCTAGACATATCAGCGTGTGCACTCTTGTTTTGCAATTTTGAGATCACCTTAGCACCTGAGATCACCCCCAGATTTTGGTTGGGTTCATGTTGCTTAGTCTTTAGTTTTCTATGTTGTGTTTTGTGCACTATTATTTGTCTGTTGGTCTTTTTCGTTTTTTTAGCCATGGCGTTGTCAGTTTATTTTTAGACTTATGAGTTTGAATGTCCCTCTGGTATCTTTCACCTCTCTTTTGCCTTATATCTTAAATATTAAAATAGATAGATATATACTTAGGTAGGAAAAATTGATCGGCAAAACAAAACCTACACTTTAGAAAAATATGGAGGAAATCGTCTTGACGACTCCTTTTTAGAGTTTTTGCCCTTTAATGATGATTTTTACCATTTTCTTGCCTTTTGCCTTGTATGATAAAAATTATAATAGATAAATTAAATCACAAAAGTGATCAACAAGGCAAGATCTACGAACAAGTCAAATTTTGCCAATATAGATGTAGACTGTCACCCTTTATAGGAGTGATTGCCCTTAGATGAGGATTGTTTTACCCTCTTTTGTGTTTTGAGTAAAAACTCAGGAAGATAGAAACTAAAAAGTGTAAATGATCAGCAATACAAGATCAACAAAACCAAGATTTTTGTCATGAATTCTATTCTTGTCTACAGTGTTGGAGAGTGTCCTTTGTTGAATATGCACATAGACCAAGGTGAGCGACACAGGCTCTTTATAGCCTCTAGTTACAGTTTATGACAAATAATTATGTTATTGAAAATTGTTACCTTGATGAAAGTAATAAGAAATGTTTTATGTCAATAAAGTCCTGTTTTATGGAAGATGTTCATTTGCACTTACATAGGGGCTGTGTTATTTTCTTATGGTCATTTTCAAAAACAGTTTACTGAAAACTAATGTTGTAGTAACAAAATGAGGTGGAAGATACTGTTGGAACATTAAAAACTCACAAGTCTAAAACAGAAACTGAGCAAACCATGCAATGATGAAAGTTATCTGTGGATCTGCAGATTTTTCCTTTTTCAGTTCAAGTTTTTTCGTCATTTTTTCTTTTTTTACCATATTTTTACTTCTGGGAACCCCATATCCGCTTTTTTTGGTTGGAGACCAATTTCACCCCTGAACATGGCGAAAAAACAAACAAAATATTAATGACCAACAATAGTTTACAAAACATTACAGAGAAATCTAAAGGCTGAACTATATGAACCCAACCAATAATTTTGGGTGATCTCAGGTGGTCCAGAGTGGTAAGCATATCCTGCTCCATTGTGTTGCTAACGGTTTGAATTCAGTGATAAGTAGAATTGGGTGATGTCACAATCCATGAAAAGAGGACAGGATTGTGTTTACAACAATTGCATCATACTGATGTCATCTGACACATATTTCATTCCACAGAAACTGTACTAAATAGTAAAACTGAAAAAAACAAAGCTACAGGAAGAGGGACAAAAGATACCAGAGGGACAGTCAAACTCATAGATCTAAAGAGGATGGCAAAAGACTGATAGCTCTTTATTATTGAATTAAACAGAAAAAAGACCATCAATCATAAAAAAACAAATGTATTACCAAAAAAAAGGAGAAAGATATCAAAGGAACGAACGTATAAAAAAATGATAAATGTGCAAGATAGAGAGTTATAAAACACACAGCATATGTCTACATGTACTACACAATTAGCTAAAAAACGTCAAATGTACAAGAAATTAATTACACAGAAAGTTAAAAAAAAAATAGCATAGCTTACTCTATGGTATGGGTCTGATCAAACAATTGTCAGTAGCTTACATCCTTGTCCTTTGTTTCTTTTGATAGAATGTTGTCTCATTGGCAGGCATACCAGATGTGATTTATAAAGTAACTATCCATATACATTATACAGTATGAATATAGATTCTACCACTGCCTTGAATTTTATGATTCTCCTCTTGACACAGTTCAATTTTCAAGGCTTAACGAGCATTTAAGAGATTTTAAAATTTGGAGGTGGAATTTGTTCCTCAATTTTTTTTTTTTATTTGTTGACAAACATTTTCTTTTTTTTTTTTAATGCTCTGCAAAAAACATGTGTTCTTCTTATGTGATATCAATAGGCATGGTTGACTTTTTAGCTCACCTGGCCCTTTAAGTGAGCTTTTCTCATCACTTGGTGTCCGTTGTTTATTGTTGTTTTTGGGTAAAGATTGCATGAAAAGCAATCAAAACCCTATGTTACTGACTTGATATCTATATCTTCCAAGGTTGATCACTACTTTTGATATACACAAAATATAGTGCATTGCTCATAACATTCTATACATTCTATCCATGGACATTTCCAGAAATTTATCAATGAAATATTTGATCAGATATTTATGTTACAAAATGATGTTAAACTTTGCATGAAAATAACATAATGTGTGCAAGGTGCAGGAATCTAAGATCTGTTCTAAAAATATCAATGATGTCATTGTTTAAGTAATCTTGAAAATTGGAGTTATCTTCCTTTGTCTGTAATTGTAGTTAAATTAACTACAACCAATGCTTTTAATTATACAATGCAATGTTAATTTTACTTCCCACTGATAAATTAAAGCAATCTGTACCCTTCATTGCTTACAAGCACTTTGATTAACCTTTACAAACACCTTCTCTTCTGAAACTACTTTGACAAATTTAGTCAAACATCTCTGACACTATTGACAAAAAGCTGTCATTTTGATTTGACCATTTTTGTTGGAGTTCATGGAGGTAGATTTTTACTATCCAACTACAATGACACCTTGTGAAAGCAATTCCTCTGAGATTCTTTGTCAGAAAGCTCTCATACTATTTTTTTGCAAACGTGTAATTGACCCAGAGGTTCCAAAGGTTTTTTGGACTTAAGAGGTCTTTTTGTCCAGTAATTATACCCCCGCTTTAAAAAAGTTGGGTATACTGTTTTACCTCTGTCTGTCCTTCCGTCAGTCCATCCATCCGTCAGTCCATCCGTCAGTCTGTCCGTCCCATGAATATTTCCGTCGCATTGGAACTACTTGACAAGGATTTCTGAAATTTGTTTCAAGGTTTATATAAGTAAGTTACACCGTGTGATGCGTTTTCAGATTCATTACTAAACAACTTCCTGTTTACCAAACACTTGTATTATTTTACACATGATAGCCAAGTTGAAAATTTTCGTCATATTTTTCTCAGGAAATACTTGACAAGGATTTCTGAAATTTGGTTTCAGGGTTTATATAAGTCAGCTATACCGTGTGATGCGTTTTCAGGTTCATCACTCAACAACTTCCTGTTTACCGAAATATTTCGGCGGGGTATCAACAGTGAGCAGTAGCTCACAGATTTACTTGTTGTTCAAGCATTACTGGTCCAGTCAGTTTTTTAGCAGTCTTTTACATTTTGAGTATTACAAAACTTTAGGAATGACTGTTGACCAAATTGTAATGTCATAATGATTCCAAGATTTAATGGGGAAAATAGGACTGTTTTTTTTACTATTTTACCACTATTGGTTTGCCTTTTGAATAAAAAGAACAAATACGAAAGCTTGAAATACACTTGATAATGTAATCTATGTTTCTGTTCTACAGTTCTATACTGTACACACAGTACATTGTAGCAATCTTGACACTTTTTACTATATCATACAGTTCTGGTCAGTATTCATGGTATATAAGTAGGTATTGTTTAGTTTAACATTGTCAATTGTTTTATTTCATTCATTTCTTTCTTTTCAGACATGACGAGTCTTGCCACCATACAAATAGAAAATGCAATGTCAAGGAGTGGAAGGAAAATAAAAACACCAAAATGGTTGCTGGGAAATGAAATATCAGTAACAACGGGGAAGGAGAAAACTATAAATGTCTCCGTAACAAAATCTAGGTTGGATGAATCATCTGATCAAATACAGAGTTCAGTTTCCAGGAAGATAACAAGTTCAGTTCTTAAAAAACAGAAGCCTAATTTTAATAAATCAGAAGTAACAAATGAAAAAATAATGCCAAACAAGTCTTCTCTTTTGAAAAAAATCGTGAAAGAAATAAAAGTTGAGATCAAGGATAAGGGCACCAGTCAGGAAAGCAAGAAGAATAACAATAAGGAGGATCTTACAGATAATGAAAATAAACAGGATGTTAAGATGCGTAACACTGGACAGTACACCAAGAAAAGTAACAATACTCGGGACACTACAGATAGTGAAAATATACAGGATGTCGAGAACATAAACAGTGCACAGCACAATAAAGATGATGACATTGACCAGGAGATCAAAGGTTTTGGCAATGGATGGAGTAATAAGGTCACTGACAACGAAAAAGAGATCAAAGTAGAAAGCTGCGTACAAGAGTCTAATGATAAGAACAAAATACAGGACATTCCATTGGAAGACAATGGACAAGACACCAACTATAAGGGCAATGAACAGGACAAACTAAAATCAAATGATTCCGATGAAAAATTTGTAAATTGGGCTTATGGGATTGCCATCCACTGTGAAGACAGAATGAACGAAAACAAGGGAATCTTTAAATGCAGAAAGTGTGATAAAGAAATGTCATCTTCATTGGAGAGGGTTCGGCATGAAGTAAATGATCACAACTTTATTGTAATGTTGAAAATGATAGATCATTGTGCTAAACCATTTAAATGTCCTTTATGTAGACGATGTATGAAGTTTGAAGAATCTATGCGTACACATATCGTTGAGCACACTACTATAGATGTAACAGACCTCACTTGTAATGTTTGTAAATTACAATTCATTAACAAAGTGCGGTTAAGAGATCATATGCTAACGCATGGAGAGGCAAAATTCCCCTGTCAGAATTGTGGAAAGAAATTTCGGATGATGAAATATGTCCGTCGTCACATGATTGAAAGCTGTTGTTCTAAAGTTTCAGCTGATAAAAGAAAAGATTGTGATAATGAGCAACCAGCCCAAGCAAATTCTAGCATAGACAGATATTTAGCAGTAAATAATTTATCTGATGATGTAATGAAGGTCAATGGTAGTGGTAGTCAGATTATGCCGGGTCAAATGGAAAGAGTATCGGTACTAAAGACTGAAGATTCTTTGGATGCAAAGTTTGCTGCTGGTGGGGATGTAGAAACTTCAGATTTGTCTGCTGATAAGTTGTCTTTGAAATTGAACAGTAATAAAAGATTTGCTGATGAAAATGAGCAGGCTGAAGAGAACATTATATCATCTTCCCCATTATCCTGTGAAATTTGTCAAGAAACATTTATGAAGAAGTGGAATTTGCAACGCCACATGTTACGAAAACATAGAAATGAAGAAGTTTTTCAGTGTGAAGTTTGTCAGGAAACTTTCAAGAAAAAGTTTACTTTGACTAGTCACTTGATAAGAGAACATAATTTTGCCAAAGACTTTAAAGTCGTTTGTGAAAAGCCTGAAGTACAAAGTGAAAATTTTAAATGTAGAGAATGCGATGAAATATTCTTTTCTTCAATGGAAAGAGTTCGTCATGAGCTTTACGATCATGACTCTGCTGTTCTTGAGAGGTACACTGGACCTGCTAAAAAAGGGAAATTTAAATGTCCTATATGTAAAAATAAAAGAGAAACTGTTCAAACCATGAAGTCACATATACGTGATCACTTTGAAACAGATATCAGTGAATTGACATGTAGCGTTTGTAAATTGCAATTCAAAACTAAAAACAGACTTCAAAATCATTTACCAATACACAGTGAACCAAAGTATCCATGTCAGAAATGTGGTAAAAAGTTTCGTATGCTTAAATATGTCAAACGCCATATGCTAGAAACACATAAAGTTGCAGGACCGCCCCTCACAAAAGGGAAACAAGACCATGAAAAGACTACAGAAAATAAGAAGCCGAAGAAAACACCAGGAATTTGTGATGTTTGTGGAAAAGTGTTCTCTTCAGTTGCGACGGCTTTACAGCACAGATCAGTTCATACACAAGAAAGAAAACATTCATGTAAAGTTTGTCAGAAAAGATTTCGATTAAAATCTGCTCTGCGTAATCACATGAGACTTCATCAAGATAGTAAAGACTTTGTTTGTGAAGTATGCGGAATGTCATTCAAGATGGCACAAGGATTGCGAATGCATCGGCTTCGGTACCATGACAGGGTAAGGTATAAGTGTGATCACTGTAGCAGGAAGTTCAAGTGTTTAGGCGGCAAAAAGTATCATTTTCTGAAAGAACACAGAGAAATTGCTGAGCAGGCAGGATTAAAAACTTATCCATGCAATTTCTGCGATCGTATTTCATCGAGTCATCAGGAATACTTACGACACGAAAGTTCTCACATTGATAATAAGATACATTATTGTGACCTCTGCAATAATAGATTTCCAACAATTTCACAGCTGAATGAACACAGAAAGTCACATTTTGGCAGACAGAAGAATTACATGTGCAAAATCTGCTCATTCAAGGCAAGCTCGCCATATAAACTAAGGCGTCATCTTGCCTCCACAAAACATCTTGAAAATTGCACAACTCAAGGTTATAATTCAATAGCAGCCATGAACATGGATGATCCCAATATTGTTAAAATACCGATTAAGCGAGAAAGGCATTTGTCTGAAAGAGATGTCAAAAACGAGAATGAGAATCTATTGACAGACCAAACAAACACGGTTTCTATAGAAACAGAACAAGAATTACTTAATCAGGTTGATTTTTCATTAGGAGATGATGAGAGTTCACAGACAGAAGAAAGTGTCGTAGAGGTTAAATATGTAGAAATTCCATACAGCATAGGAGAAGGCTCTCATATTATTTACACAGAGGACAATAATTTGGTCTATAGAGTTATTGAAGATGGTGAAACAGGCAGTTTAGTTGAAGGGGCAAATACTATTATTTACGATCCCTCGATAAATCAGGCTGTGGAATCCATTTTGAAACTACAGCAAAGTTCCCCAACGAATTTATAACTCATTGTTGTGAAGATAATTGTAAGGAATAAGCCTTCAGTATTGGATTTTCCAATTTTGTTTATTTTCTATTTGTACAATTTGGCAATTGCCAATCCGACCACTGGGCAAGAAAACTCTTGTGAATTTGGCCTCAAAAGATGTTTATGAATTTAAGGTTTCTAGTGCATAGGGTGCAAATCACACAACTAAGATGTATTTACTTTCATCTCCCTAAACCTAAGGGGCATCTAATAATACTATCCTTCAAACTTGCAGTCATTCATTCATTTGTCATTTCGTTTGAGAGATCTAATAATCATTTCAATTACATGCATATATATACATATTTTGTACTTGACTGATCTTTCAAAAAACCACCTTAAAGAATAAGAACAGTCATCTTTTGTTCCTTTGAAATAATATTTTAAATATCCCTGTCCTGGTAAATTGTTTTTTTATGAATATCAGGGGGAAAATTTGATTGCATTTTCTGGGATTAGGTCAGTGCAAGAACCTCCTCATTCATTTCCCTAGAAACCTTATCAATATCATGCATGCATGGCTATAACATGGATTTTTTTTTATTAATTGTTGATTTGAATTGCATATATATATATATATTAATGTTTTTATTAAACTATTTACTTCAATGTTATAATTTGACGAATTTCTCTTTCAATGTTTTTCAATTTTATAGCATGCTAACTTATGATTTGCATATGATTTTTAATGAATTTTAGAATACCACTGATATTATAAACAAAGAAGATAATTTCATGAATAAGATAGTTGTTTGTTTCTACCAGCTGAAAAAAAAGGTTAATAAAAATACCAAATTCAAAGGCAAATTTATGATAGGGAAGTCCATGAAAACTGACAAAATGAATTGCTATCAATCAACAGAACAAGTAAAAAACAACTGCCATATTCCTGACCTGGTACAGGCATTTTCCAGAGAAATGGTAGGTAAAGATCACTAACTTCAATGGTATAAGTTAAATGTCCATAGCTTGATTTGTACCCAATGATGAATTTCCATTCAAGACTATAGCAACGTTACTAAAAAACTCAGATTTTGATTTTGGTGTACATGTCCTCTCATTAAAAATGGCTGTCATATGTCGAATGAAGATACAATCGAGAATGTTAAAGAATCTTCATGGTCCATGTATATCAGATGATGTAGAAAAGCTTGATGTTGCATATATCATCAAATGTGAAAAATGGATATCACAAGCGCAACCATGGGTCAGTAGACCACGTACAGAATGGCCATCATCTGATCTTATTTCACAAATAACATCATTAGGCGTCTTATTTGTCCCCATCGGTTGCAAAGGATCCAAGAATGAAAATTTTGAATGGAGGATATCGTTTTCAGTTGCAGAAAAGATGTTGATTTTTTCATTCTGTCATACCAAGTTACTGTGCTATGCTTTATTGAAAATCTTACTGAAAGAAATAATAGAGAAGTTTCCAGGTTTAAATGGGTTATTGTGCTCATATTTCCCTTAACACTTTAATGTTTTGGATATCTGAAGAATTAGATCCGTCAATTTGGCGACCAGACAACATTATTCCATATTTTATGGCATGCCTACATAAACTGTTATACTGTGTAGAATATTTAACACTATTTCACAATTTTATTCCTAACAAAAATCTTTTCTATTCCCAGTTCGACACAAGTAACAAAACGGAATTGGTCGGTCTTCTTCAGAATGGTGTATCAGCAAGGCATTCGATGCTTTTCATCTTCAGAAACTCTCCATGATTACTCGAGTTTTCCTTGTAATATTAATAGGCCTTTAAGCGTAAAAACCATACTAGCACAAGCAACAATTCATCTTTTTTCGTCTGGAAGGGCGAAAGGGAATATTTACAGATTGATAAAGAACATTCTACATCATTCTAAAAGTTGTTTGTCGAGAAGCATATTTAACTTATTTTTTGCAGATGCACACCATTTCGTATCTGAGATACCAAATATGCATTGCAGGCCTATCAACAAACTACAATACTTCAAATACATTATTACCTTAGTCAATTATTGATTGGTGTTAATTCAGATGCAATATCAGGATGGTTGCTGTTAGCAACATTCTTCTATAGTCATAAACGTTATCCAGAAGCATTAATCATAACAGCTCATGTCATGTCAAAGTTCACAGACAAAACAATTCCTGTTCCGGTGGAAACATCTATTGATATCGTTGTATTTCATGAATTACATGATTATGTAATGGAATTGATGAAACATGAAAAGACAATCACTATAATAAAAAACTTAACAAATCTTGATATCAACCTTGATTCCAAATCATTGGCGATTTTACCAGAATTACAACAGGACGCTAAGGATCCTTTTACAGTATATACTTGCAAACCAATGACACATTTCATTCGTTTTTTGAGCTATTACCATCTTGAAAATGTTGATTCATGCAAAGATGCATTCATGAGACTATTACAGGAAATCCTCGATAGTTTTTCATACATGAATAACAGTCAACATAGTCAAAGCTATTCTGTGCGTATGGTTAAAATATTCGAGTTATTTCATATAATGTATTTATTGGGAATTTCTGCAAATATGATGGGCGAATCGTATTTGGCAAAATATTGCTTACGGTATATAGCTAAAGTAGATATTTATAATACCACTTCTGCAGCATCCAGACTATTAGAACTCATGTGAAATTATTTATTTCAAAGTCATAAAGGATATTGATTTACATACCTCAAACGTGTGCTACGAATAAACAATTGATTTGATAAACATTATTTCACCGTATATGAACCGTTGCATACTATTTTCGTATATGTTGAACGGTCATCTCAATACTCTTCTAAAATATGGTTTTGAAGATTGAAAAATCAGGTCATCACAGTTTTGCGAAATTTGTTCACTTGCAAGTGAATGATTCGACATCATTGAATCAGTTTCCATGTGACTTTCAATTTAACCGATAAACTGGAGATGGTTTACGAATGTATTCATGCAGCTATTAAAAGGAAAAGAATGTCAACATTGAAAGTAAAACATGGATAAACCATTTGGCTGACTAATTCATCCACAAAAAAAAAACATTCCTAAAGGTAAAATCAATGATAAAAAATACTATTAAAACTACAATATGAAATGAATCAGACATAGAAAAGTCCATTGCACATGATCGCTAGGTATTCGTATTTACGTTTATATCGGGTAATTTGACTGTCGACAGTCTTCGGAGGTCATGTATGCGGTTTTGAAATTAAAATTAGATGACGTCTATACAAAAATACAAACGAAGTGCTGATACATATTATCAAGCCCATGTATTGTTACTTGTTTATTTTAGATTATTTGTAATTTGGATATACATTTCATTTAGATATGAAAGCTTTATGAATTGTACTTTGCAAAAAGGCAAGTGCAGCTCTGAAATCTGTATATTGCAGTTATTGTTCTACCAAGTTATAGACAAAACTACTGTTCAAGTGTTTTGTAAGTAAATAAAAATCAGATACAGTTATAGAATTGGCAAACACGTACTATGCATGAGTTGACGGTGAGATCAAAACTCATCAAAATCAAAGGAAAATGGACAACACAATGACCAAAGCAAAACAAACACACGTCAAGGCATACTCACAAGACACAATGTAATAAACTAAAGAGTTAGCAGCAGAAAACCCACTACACACTATGGTGAGTTCTATGGAACCGGACGTGTTAGCAGTACTGCTCTATCACTGACAAAATCTGTGAGATTTTTTTTCATAATAAACGGTCACATAAATGATCATGGCGTCCAGAAATCTTTCAATGTGAGGTACACAGAAATTGCTCTGGAATGTAGTACTCACTATGATTGAAAAATATATCCTTTTTTCTGTGAGTGCTGCTGGAATTCTATATAGATATGCAATATTATTGAATCTATCTCTTTGGGAAGGAATTTTAATTTTATCAAATGACATCGAGACTCATATTGAAGCAGCTTGAACGCGAAATACGTAGTTAATTGTTGCTAGTTAGTACTGGTCATTCCTGTAGTCAATAAAAAAGTCAATTGTTGTATTCTTTATACAACAGTTAACATTATATGCAACAGTAGACATTTAATCACAATCAAGAAAAATGTACACTATAAGAAAGTTTTTTGTCTTCAGTTTTAATTTTACACAGGCATGCAGTACGTCTCAAATATGTTCGGTGGTAAGCTTCACAAATGAATCCGGCTTTACTGTACTAGCTTTCTGTTTGGTTGCAGATTTCATTATATTAAAGGTCTGAATGAGAATAGAAAGTATAACATCATTTTATAACGTAAAAAAATAAAAGATGCAGGAAAATCAAATGCTTAATTTTTTCAAACATGACGGAAGTTGCTTGGATGGTCAGTTCAAGTAAATGCTCTAGATACTTACATGTTTATGGGTATAAATAGGCGAAAGTAGTACACCGATATTCAAATATCATAAATCGATAAAGAATAAACAAATCAAGGTAACAAACAAATTTTAGGGAGTCGCATGAAATCCAGTCAAAATGAGACTGAGTGCGTCGACACGGTAATTTCTTGTATACTTGCTTTGAGAAGCGGGAGGTTATACTGTTAAGTGTTCGAGTTCATGTTCGTTTGCCTCTCCCCGTTTCGTATCGTATCATTACTCCAAGATGTCTCATCAACCTTTCATTGTGTTGTAATTTTTAAGGTAAGTTTAAAGAAAACCTCTTATGATACGTAAATGGTATTTGTAACGTAGTTTTATAAAGGAGAGGTGAATATATCAAAGGGATATTCAAACTCATAACTCAGAAACAAACTGCCATTTCCATGGCAAAAAATGGATACGATGGAAAGATAAAGAATAGTACACATAACACAATGCAGAAAATTGAAGACTGAGCAACACGAACCATTACCAAAAACCAAGGGTGATCCCAGGTAAATCATGAGAGGAAGTACAAGCAATTGAATATCTTCACAACTTTGAGATATATACTCCATATGCAGCTGCTAGAATGTTGCTACATTGAAATTGAAAGTTCACAATTGGGAAGCTGAAATCCTTTCTTTTGTCATATAGTTTTGTTCTTAGTCGACCCTCATTGTCAATTTCGATGTGTTTTTAAAGATATTTAATCAGACTTAATTCTTTATTGTCTCGTGTATTTCAAGTTATATCGGATAGATGCGTTTAACTTAGTCACCATACTTTATTACAGTTTTAGTGAGAGGACAGCATTTATACAGTGGAACTTGTAGTTAACGGACATGGCTAGTGTATGGGGTCAGCTTCGTGTGAATAAAGCAACAATTCAGCAAGAAGAGGAGCACAATTGGTTCCCATGGTAATGCCGATTATTTAATGAAATTGCATCCTCTACACGTAACAAATAACTTGTCGATCAATCAAGAAATCAATTATCTCGTTAATGTCCTATTAAGGGCATTTGTTTTTTAGTAGGAGTGATTTATACAAATTTCGATTGATCTCTCTCAAAAATAAGATAATTGTCTCTACATTGGCCATTCTTTTTGTTTGAAATAAAGCAGGATGAATTATTTCAATTTGTCTTTTTAAAAGTTATGAGAGGGGGAATACTATTAAAGGTAGAGTGAAGAAAAGTCAAATGATTTATTATTGCTAGACGAGAG